CAGAGTTTACTTCAACTTCAGAAATTCTTAATTCTGACCTTTCTTCAGAAGTTCTAACATCAGAATCAGATTGAGACTTATCCCAATTCCAAACTTCCGATTCCTTCACAATCACATCTCTGTTGAATTCAATTTTATTGGTTTCTGGACAATAGAGCTTGTATGCACCTGTACTGTGGTACCCTATCAGAATCATCACTTTGCTTCTATCATCCAGCTTCTGTCTTCTGGCTTCTGGAACATGTTTATAGCAAACAGAACCAAACACCTTCAGATGACTAACACTTTGCTTGTCTCCAGTCTACTTCTGCATAGGAACTATTTCCTTCAACTTCTTCGTAGGACATCTGTTGAGTACATACGTTGCAGTGGCAACAGCTTCTCCCCAGAGCTTCTGAGGAAGCTTCTTCTCCTTTAGCATGCTTCTCACCATATCAAGCAAAGTACGATTTCTTCTTTCAGCAAGACCATTGTGTTGAGGGGTATAAGGAGCAGTAACCTCATGCTCAATTCCATTCTCCTCACAGAACTTCTGGAACTCTTTGGAGTTATACTCACCTCCACCGTCAGTTCTAAGAATCTTCAACTTCTGACCACTCTGATTCTCAGCCTTCATTCTGAACTTCTTGAATTCATCAAACACCTCATGTTTGAATTTAATAAGGGATACCCATGTCATTCTTGTGAATTCATCAACAAATAACACAAAGTATTTATTCCCTCCAATTGATGCTACTGGAAATGGACCACACACATCAGAATGTACAACTCCCAAGGCATGTTTTGCTCTTGGAGCAACTTCTGACGCAAATGGCAAACGTGGTTGTTTTCCTTCCATGCAAACTTTGCATGACTTTTCAGGCTTCTTAATTGCAGGAATTCCATGTACCAGCTTATTTGAATTCAGATGTTTTAGGCTTCTGAAATTCAAATGACCAAATCTTCTGTGCCACAGCTCACTCTCCTTCTCAGCACATGTTGCACTAAGACATTCTGAGTCTGCAGTTCTGACATTCACCTTGAATGTTCTATTCCTTCCCTGTTCTGACTCCATAATCAACTTCTGATTGTAATCATACAACTTCAGAAGATTGTCCTTCATGGTAACTGAAAAACCTTTCTCAATTAATTGTCCCACACTCATCAGATTGCTTCTGATGCCAGGTACATACCACACGTTCTGAATCAATGCTGTTTTCCCATTGTTCAGAATCACTCTGACATTTCCCATACCTTCTGCATTAAGATATTTGTCATCAGCACATCTGATCTTTGTTCTCTTTTCAGAGTCAAAGTCAACCAGCCATTTCTTGTTTCCAGTAAGATGATTTGAACAGCCAGTGTCCATATACCACCAGTCTATCAGATCCATATTATCAGATTCAGAAGCCATCAATAGCACAGATTCGTCATCAGAACTTCTGGCTATATTTTCTTCTTCTGATTTTCTCTCCTTGTTTGACCAATAATCTCTAGCAAAGTGACCAAACTTCTTACAACAGTAGCATTGGATCTTCTTCTTGTCATACTTCTCTTTTCCCTTCTGAGCATTCTTTTGTCTATCAGAGGTTGAGCTTTCTGACTTCTGACCACCATCAGATCTTCTCCTGGCTTCTGACTGCTTCTGATACCTCCTATCAGAAGTTGCTTTCAGAGCCTGCTGCTATACTTCCCTTTCAGAAGTTCTCTCAGTCAAACGCAACTCTTGCGCTTCTAAACTGCTCTGCAGCTCTTCAATTCTCATGGTACTCAGATCTTTGGAATGTTCTATTGCTACCACAATGTAATCAAATTGAGAGGTAAGGGATCTCAATACCTTCTCCATGATTGTTTCTTCAGAAAGAGTTTCTCCACACGCCTTCATCTCATTAGTGATCAGAATCACTCTGGAGATGTATTCAGAAACTTTCTCATTATTCTTCATGTTGAGATTCTCATATTGCTTTCTCAAGGACTGAAGCTTCACCTTCTTCACTGATGCGTCACCACCATAACATCTAACCAGTGTGTCCCACGCAGCCTTTGCTGTCGTTGAATCTGCAATCTTCTCAAACACATTTACATCAACACATTGATGAATAAATAATAATGCTTTCTGATCCTTCTTCCTTACTTCCTTCTGCGCGTTTTTCTGTTCATCCGTTGCATCTGCTGCTACCAGAACATAACCATCAGTGACAAGATCTAGAACATCTTGAGCACCAAATAGTACATGCATTTGGATCATCCAACGATTCCAGTTTTTACCGTCAAATACTGGAAGCTTGGTGTTCATGTTGCCGTTTCCGTTCATCTTCACCTTGCACAATACACTCAGATTTCTCACACAGTGTTTCCCAACCCACAGAATAAAATTCTGATCAGATTTTGTTCAAGATTCAACACGAATCTAAGAATCAAAATCAAACACACAAGACCTCACACTCACTCGTGTTTCCCGTGTTTCCCAATGAATCTGAACCGGAGCTCTAGATACCAATTGTTGGTGCAAAGGTGAATAAATGATGAACAGAGGGAAATATTCTATTAAGAATGACGGCTACAAAAACATGATTAAAATTTACAATGATTGTCACCCTATTTATAAGATAAAACTAGGGTTACTAGAATAAGATAAATACTAAAATACCCTCTAACAAACTTATGGGCTTAAGAAAGTAATATAATAAAATATGAATTATTACTAATATATATGAGTGATCGTGGACAAATTGACAAAGTGTCCTCACTTTATACCAATGAGACTCAATTGTAATGTGACCAAGTTAGCAGAGATTTATGTTGGAGAGATTGTCAGACTAGATAGAGTATCATTTAGCATTGTTTTAGATAGAGATCCAAAGTCTACTTCTCAATTCTAGAGAGCGTTGCATGAAGCTTTAGGTACGAAGTTGAGATTTAGTTCTGCCTACCATCTTCAAACATATGGACAGATCAAGAGGATCATTTGTACTTTGGAAAACATGTTGAGGGTTTGTGTCCTAGAGATCGGGGAAGCTGGGAAAAGTTGCTACCACTTTTGGAATTCACCTACAACATTAGCTACTAGGATGACACCATATAAAGCTCTGTATGGATGCAAATGTCAGACACATTTATGTTAGTACAAGGACGGAGAAAGCTCGATTGTGGGATCCAACTTGGTACAACTAGTGGTGGACAAACGGTCGGTGTCAGTTGGTGACGGACCCGAAATGTCAATCTAATTGAAACCACAGTTGCTAAATCATGGCCCATCTCCATCCATTCAAGCTTTTAGTTTCCTCGGATAGCGGTTTTGACAAGTGATGGTTTATTTCAGATGGTTTAGTTCGGATCTTTTATTAAGTCACCAAAAATCAAAAATTTCCAGAAGAAAGAAAAAGTAGAGAGATTTGTTATTAATAATTTTAACGAGTAATTGTTATTAATTTTGTTATTAATAATTTTAACGAGTAATTGTTATTAATTTTTTGGACATGATATGTATATTTATATTTGTCTGATTTATACTTTTGTTTAGTTTAGTTTGATATTGATTGTGGTTAATGAAAATTGACCCTTTACAATAATATTTTAGATACAAATGTGAAATTTCAGAGTAATTGATGTTTGTTTGACGTGTGATCGTGGAGAAGAGATTTGCAAAATAAAAACATTTCAATAGTTATAAAGTGGTTGCATTATATTTTAAATTATTTATTTATTTTTCTTTTAATGAATTAGAAATATGCCATATGGCAACCTTCCGCTTATGAATTTGAATGGTTAATGTTAAAATCTTTTATTTTTGTTTTAAACAAATATTGTTAATAATTTTTGGGTCATGTCTTGGATGAAATTCTGAGCGTTACATGATCCAAAACAAACAAATGAAATAATAGAAAATGTAAAATTCGAGCTCATAATCGGTTATACCATTTGGTTAACTGGTTATAGATGATATTGAATTAAAATCACATTCAGTAGTAACTAGTTTACAACCGTAAAGTCTTCATGTTTCTACTACTTGGAAGTGCTATTGACTTTGTTGTAATCGGTTACACCCCGTTAACTTTATTGGAGTTGGTTGAAAATATATATGTTGAAAAAGTTTCACATCACTTAGTTTTATGAAGGAGTGAAGAGTCTAAGACTATATATAAGATTCAAGTTCTTCATTCTAAGATGCAACAAATAAAAACACTTTAAACTTATATTTGACATGTGTTAGTAACAATTTTTTCATAGTTTTATTATTTGATTGTCAGTTGATAACAACCGTGATTTTTTTCTGATTTTAAAATTTTCACATTATATTTTTGTATTGTAATTATATTTCTATTTTTCTTTATATTTTTTTAGTTTTTTTCTCAACAGTTAGAATACTTGAATTACCAACATAACCTTCACACTATTTGCATGTATTAGTTTAATTATAATATTTTCATGTAAATAAAATCTTTATAGAATCACTTATCTCACTATCACACACCACTTCACACAACTTTCCTTCACTTTAAAAGTAAAGATTTATAGACCCATAATGAATATGGATAAAAATGAATATTTTAAAATTTACCCAATTATATTATGCAAATATCAAATTTATTGATTCCATAGGAAACAGTTTGTCTATTACTTTATTAAAATCTTTTAAAATCTTACTTAATGTTTTTATCCTAGAAAGTGATAAGTGATTAGACTACTCAACAACTCTTTGAATTTGCATCTTTGACATCATCTCTTGTAGCTGATTGAATTGAAATGCCCATTTCAATCTTTGCTATAAACTCCAAAGACCAAGAACCAAAATTTCCAATCACTAGTAGGGAATTTCAAACTAACTTTTATATTACAACAAACACATTTGACTTTTTTCCCTCCTTGCATTATCCATCTTTGGTATAAACTATCAAAACTTACTATATTACAAAAACCATCAAACATATATGTTTGAACTATCTATAACTTATAGCACCGTAATTTTTGGATAAAAATTACGGTGCTATAATGATTTTGTCAAATTCACCATCTTCGATTCAACCTTTGGTTCTAATAATAGTAATAGAGCCTCTACCTCTGGTTTGAATCCTAGTAAGTGCTGCAACTTCTTTACCCGAAATACCATAACTACGGTTCGAATTAATGAATGAACTACTCTCATAATCTTGTACAACTACAGGGTGTGGAATTGGCTTTGATGGATTCATCATCATTTGATGATTTATATCTCTAATTGTTGTCTCACCTTCAACTCCTCCAGGCTTCACTAACTCAAATGGATATGCTATTTTCTTCCACTGTCCCCCTAGTTACATCACAAGCACATGATGAACAATAAGAGACATGAAATGATGAATCAATTAATATTCATGTGTTCAAAAAGTAAAAGAATTTTGTACTTGAAATTGAAGCATCATTTTCATCTGATTCTTTAGATGCACAACAACTCCTTTGAGGTGAATCATGTTTGACTGCATGATTTTCTGATGATGATGATGATTTTTTATGGTCTGTAAAGTAATAATAATTTGCATGTCAGTGTTACGGTCATATTTCAATTATTTCTTGTGACATTGCACTACAAGTTAATTTTTGTGTGACATGTCAGTGTTACGGTCATGTTTTAAATAATTAATTAAAATAAAATAAAAATAAAACCTAAATTATAAATAATTAACATGAATTTTTGTTTATATAAGTCGATTCAACGTGTCTATATCTCTATATCAGCAACTACGAACCAGTATCATTATTCGGATGATAGTAACTATAAATATTTTCAAAAGAGTGATACTCAAAATCTTGCAAGACAATATTGAGAGCGATGCAACTACAAAAATACTAACAGCAAAGACATCAGAACACGACATCAACACTGACATATTAACAGTATAACAATTTGAAAGAAAAACTATATACCTTGAAGTAATTGGTCTTCTTTGGATGGTAAATTATGTTGGTTACACCAAATATCCCAACCAGTTATTGCATCTTCAAGATATCCACTAGATGTATCTGAGGCAAACCAATACTCATCTATAGAAAGAAAAAAAACATCAAATAAACAAAATAAACATACAATCATATTCTTGAAAACAAGTGAATCAAGAAAAGATAATTAGTATATGAAAAATACCAAGAGTAAAACCTGAATGAGTGACTCCAATATCAAGTTCCATGGAGAAACTTAAGGAAGTGAAAAGAGAAGCAATAGTTATATGAATATTTGTGGTAGAGAAGTTAATGGAAGTTTCATATATGTGAACAAAAACACTACTGTGTTACACTAAATTATTGTTATGGGCCCCTTTAAACTCTGAAAATACCAACCTACCTAACCTTACAATATAATCAAAATAATAAATGGACCATATTAATTGGATTGCTGATTCTGCAATGTGATTAGTAATTAATAAATTTTTTGGTCTGATTATATTGAGGAAGGTATTTAATTATTCATAAATATTTAATTTTATTTGTTACCTTATTATGCGGATTATGTTGCTTTTTCTAAGGTGGATTGGATGCTAAAATAGGAACAAAAAGTGATGTACCTAAAGAAAATATAATAAAAATTTCACTTAATTTCAACCATCTCTTAGAACTTTTTTATTTTTATAAATTCTTTGTTGAAATGCCCATCCTGATTATCAAAAGTCCAAAAGAGATGAAAAGACAAGCCTGCAGGAAATTGTGCTAGGCCATATAGAACTTAATGATTATAATATCAAATAATATGAAATCCTCTTATTATTTGAATTGATTTGTTAGACTAATCTAATTCAAGATCATAGATTCGAATTAAACTAGTTTATGCAGTTACGTACGAAAGATATTCGATTTTTACTGTAAAAAAATATTAAAATTAACTTTGAAGACGTTGTTATTATTTTTTGGTTTAATTGTTTTTTTCTTGTAAATTACCGAATTTTTGAGTTTAGTCTCCATAATTGTTTTTTTATGAGTTCTTGTATTTCATCTTTTGCATGCGTTTTAGTTTTAAAGTTAAAATCCATAAAAAAATCCAAAACATACCAATAAATTGTGTTGCACATAAAAAATAAGATATAAGAACTCAGATAAAAAAATAAATTATAGTACCAAATTTAAAAATTCGCTAACACAACAAACTATTTAAGTCTTGTTTTCTTAGCTAACGTTTTCTAAAAACATATTTTTTTATAGACAATAAATTTTACTATTAATAGTTAAGATTATTCAAAAAATCCATAAACTGAATTGAACCGTCGAACTAAAACAAATTGAAGTTAAAATAATTGAACTGTTATGTTTGGTTAATGAACTAAACCATATTACACGAAACAGTTTTAAATTCGTACCGAATTGAAATCGAACCGAATCGAAACTGAAAATTAAAAATACTAAAAACAAGTTTTAACTTTTATTATTTTAAAAATTTAAAAAATAGTTTAATGGTTCGGTTCTTTAATAAACAGTTCGGTTTGAAAAAATTATTTTCTAATAATTCGATACAGTTCGGAATTTCTAAACGGTATACCAAATCAATGACTTTGATTCGGTTCGGTTCTAAATAAATTAAAATAGTTTGCTCCAACTATATCATAAACAACCCTATTACCAGATATACTAGGAGTATACCAATCTTTACAACATCAAAATACAATATACCTCATCAATCAAATTTTCGCCTTCATTGATATCAAAAATTTAAAGTAGAAAATTTAGGGAAGATATCCAATCATAAAAATTATATTTGATTCTATCATGGTTACATTCTAGCCACTTCCATAAATTAACTATCACCTTAAAGCTATGTCATCTTGTCTTACAATTATTTTCCTTAAGTTTACGTGATTGTGCACCCACCAAACAGTCCAACATTCCATAAAGACCATAATATAATGATGGAGGATAGAAAGTGGAGAGTAAAAGGGTATAGTTTCCCAAAAAAGATTTGAAGCATCACTTTCTGTTTTCCTAATTTGCTACATATCTTTTTTCCCCCCTCTATGCTATAGGCTTTCAAAGCATGCGTGAGCGAGTACTATTTTATTTCATTTACTTTGGGATAGTTTTCTAGTTTTCTACTTACTCTTGATTTTTAGAATGTGATAAGGACTAGTGATACTTATTTTTGATTGACAAAATTGAGATTAGAGGATGTAAAGGTGAAGAGACTGTGTGAATAGTTTACTAACTAAATAACTTCGAAATTTAATCTAAATCACAATAAAATTGAGTGGAAGATTCAACCTTATGTGATTATTGGAAAATAAATTAAGTCTCATATAAATTTAATATCTTATTAGAGTATACAATATGAGGTGAATTAAGCTAAATATAAAAATTACTATAATATTTGTTCCATACTAAATTAGAAATAGATTGAGTTTTAATGAAATAGAAATATGTTGTGATAAAATGGGTTTTCGATATGGTGGAGGAGAGTGGATATGTAAGATTAGTACTATACATCTACTAAATTTGTGAATGAGTGAGAAAGTAGTTTGAATGTGTGAGTGATATGATACCTTAAAGGGTGTGTGTTTGGCTAAATAGTGTGAGCTGTTAAAATTGTCCTTGTGTAATTCAACGTCTTACACATTGGACTGTCCGATTATATCTGGTGGTGGGTGGTCGCCCGAGGGCAAGGATCAAGTGCAAGTTTTATGGTTATGGATACCCTGAGTCCCCAACGTCTTGTTACACACATTCTTGGATTGGGCCTCGTAATGATTGAACATTTTGCCTTTAGGCTTGTGCACTTCCTCGATCGTGGTCCTCGTGATAGATTTCAACCTCACAGAAGTGGAAAGGCTTGGAGAGTGAGGGTGGGTGACCTAGGGAACAAGTGTATTAAATGCAAGTCTTGTTACTAAAAGATTTTGTAGGATCATTCCTACACGTGGCCTTAAATCCCTATGGTAGGGTGTGACGTTAAACTTGAATCGTCCTATTAGCGAAGAAGTCGATCTTGGTTCCTCATCTTCTGCACTACTCGTGGTAGATCATGAGTCTGTTGAAGTGTGTCAGGATAATCTAAGTGCTCGTTCTTACATTAGAGCCTTTTAGTCTTTGAATGGTTGAGAACCTAGCAACAAAGAGGTTAGGGAGCATCTTGATTTTTTAGTTCATTCCAAAACTTATGATTGACATTTTTGTTGTTGATACTAGGGCGAAAAGGGTTAGAAAAGACCAACAAGGCCTTGATTTTCTTGTCGATGGTGTTCAATACTTTTAGGTGGATGTAGAATTGGTGGGGACAACTTCCTTTTTCTTGAGTTTTCAAATTTTATAAGGCACCCATTAGGACGTGGGGTAATCCTCAAATTTTCATGTTTCTCGTATCGAGCCCTGAAAGAGGTTGTATAGCTCTTTTTGTGGATGTTCAATGACTTTCCATGAGTGTCAGTTTTCCAAAATCAGATTTATGCTTCCCTTCAACGATTTTAAAGTGAAGGTATTAAATCATTTGAGAATCAGTCCCTTTTAACTGCACTCAATGGCCCGGACTTTTGTGAAGTTGTTCCAATATTGGTGCGACTACGGGGATTGAGTATCGAATTTAAAGTTATTCTTCATCATAACACATACTTTGTTAGAGCAGAGTGGGGGTAAGGGTCGCTATTTTTTCATCAACCGAAGAAGGTGTTTGATTTCTATATTCATAGTTAGAAGAATTTCAAAGATCATTGCTTATTGGTTGTTGCACCCTAATTTTTGACTCTAAGATCCCGCATCTTTTTGCGTCATCTGTATAGTTTATCATAGCTTACATTTTTCATAATACCCAATTTATCAGCTAAAATAAACTTTTTGGACAGTTTAAGCCGTTTTAGCGGGTAAAATTTATTTCAAAATTTGACAAAACGCTGTATTTTTCCGAATCGTATATTTTTTGCTGATCACTTTGGTGTATTCATTTTATTTTTTCGAGTACTTCGATACCGACCCAATTATTCGTTTTTTTTTACTGTCTTTATTTCTACATTTAATTAATATATTCTTTTAATCTATCAAATCTTTATTTAGATTTTATTGTAAATATTTTATTCTTTTTATGTTTATCTTTTCCTTATTTTGTGGAACTTTTGAAAAAGTTTTTGATTTTGTAGTAATAATTGAGATTTTGTCCATTTTTTTGAGTACTAACACTCCCACAAGCTACTACCTCTAGCATCCAAAATCCCACAAAATCTGGAAAAAAAAAAGGCTAGAAGGACTACTCCATGTACTACCATCATCATTTTCTCTTAAACAACACACTTCATCATAATATCCTACCTAATCTACACACTTTCATCACCACACATACACCATAATCCTGGTATTTATTTTCGATAAATACACCAAAGACAAGACTCCTCTCACATAATACTCCCTCCTCATTTAAAGGACAAGAACCTGCAAATCATACGATCACCATCCCACCTTCCTCATTTTATCTCTTTCAACCGGAAAAAAATATAATCCATTTTGCGAAACATCCAGCGACCACTCGTTCAAACTACAAACCTTCCCTTTCCATAATAAAACACAATCCTTCCAACTTGTATCTCTTTCTTCTCCCTCCATAAAATTCATAACCTCCATGAAGGCACCTACAAGACTACTTTAAATATCCCTCCAAAAGCTCACAAACAATGGGGTTGTTACATCAAAACAACCATTCTTGAACTCACTGCTACCCATCCGTGACAACACCGTCAGCTTCGACCGCCACCACACGAGTTGCACAACACCTCACACGTATTCAGGACCACTCAAACTCGAGGTATTGTTCTCACCTTGTGTATTTGATCTATTTTTGTTTGACCGACGTGCTCTCGATTTCGCATGAGAAAGGTGAGCAGTGAGTTTCGATTTGAGTGGAAGACATGCTCTGTTTTTTGTTTCAACGTTGAGTTTGTTTGTTGTCATATTCTTTTACAATAAGTGATGTGCCTTCCCCTTGCTGAAAGAAAAATATGTTATTGTTAGTAGATATTTCACTTGCATTTATATTAATGGTTATATGATGTAGCTTTTAGAATAATGTTTCTTCTTGTTCTAATTTATTCAACACTATTGTTTTTTTCTTCTTCTTAAAGATCTTTTTTAACATAAACCAAGAGACCCTTTAATCACGTTCTTTAATATTTTATTATCTGTACATTAGAAATACCAAAAAACAATTATTATTAGTTAATAAAATTAA